TCAGCATGTAGATTTCAAATTTTCCTGGGGTTTTCCAAAACAACTCTTTGAGCACAGGTGTAAGACTCTCCTGCTTGAGATGCGGTCAGCAGCTGGGAATGCCCTTTGGAAGGCATTACCTGGGCTGGGTATGCAACACCATCTGAAACTCAGGCCCCTTTAATGAATTTCAGGATAGGCACCCCAAATTCCTTCCTGTCATTCCTTGAAGGAAAGTTGATACCCGTCTGTTTAGTGCCTACACGTGTATATCAACTTGAAATACAAATGAACAAATATTCCTGTGTGTGTATGAGGATCGATTAGTGGGTGTAGGCAGACACGCAGCATTTTGGAGTCATCCAGCATGGGTGTTGTGGCACAACTGTGTCTGGAGAGTGGGTGCTTACATTCTGAGGCCAAGGAACCTGGGTAGCACTTTTAGCTCTGGCATCAGTCTGCCAGATGGGTTGGCTTGGACAGTCTTTTTCCCACTGAGTTTTAGTTCCCCATTTTATAACTTCTTTTTATGCACTTCTTTTTGATCTGCTGTTGAAACGTGAGTATGTGAAACTCAGTAATTCTTATAATATAATTTTTTGCACTATATTTACATGTGGATGATTAGTAAATAAATCAATCTGAGATTGATGATCAATAGTTACTGCTATCTTATATTCCTGAGCACTGGAAAACATCAAATAGTTCAGGAGTTGTTAATATATTGTAACAGGCAGTTATTTGCTAGTGCAGCTAGCTCAAACACTTGTCTGACCTGCACTGAGGCTGAACTTGACATCGGCTGTAGGGCTCCTCTCACCAAATTTGGCATATGTTAGTGTCAGTTTAGGCTGCTTCTTCTGCAGATGAGAAAAAGCAAAAACCCTTGGGATTACACTTCTTCCCTCCTTCTTTAGGAACAAAATATCCTCTACTATCTCTCCCTGGACTGCAGTGAGGGTTGGTTGCCTGACTTACACTGAACTCCTAACTTGTAATGAGCCAATGTAAGGGAGAGACATCTTATGCACTTAACTACAGCACATTTCATGTCTGGCAGATCTAGAAACATTTTCTGAAGAAGATAAAGCCATTAAAGTAACATTGGTTAGAAATAATGCTAAAACTTGATTGTCATAAAAATGGTGTTAGGTATCTCATTTAGCAGTAAACTTATTTCATGGTGGTATGAGAAACTGTATAAAACAAATATTGGACTGTATAAGAAACATTAAAGGTTTGGTGAAGTAGCTTCGGTAGTTTGAAGAATGAGGTGAAAAGAGTCCTTTGATTTAATCTGTGGCTGAAATAGTCTTCTCATCATAATTAAAGACATGATCTGTTGTTAATAGTACTTTCTAGGTGCTTTCTTAGAAAAAGTTAAGGCCCCAGAAAAGTCTGAAATGACCCATTTAAAACCATTCTGTATTTCTATTTTTTTTCAGTAATTTATATGAAGCAAAACTCTGAAAAAATTATGAAATGTCCATGTAAAGTTAGTGCTTCTGTGTGCCCCTGTAACCTTACCTCACATTGCCAAGAAGAATCCCATCTCCCAGGGTAGAGGGAGAGATGGCATTGGCTTGGATGTTTTGAAACTGGCTTATAGAATAAGCTCTAAAGTCACCCTTTGATGAGGGGGAGATTTGAAGTACTCCATATGATCACAGGGACATTTGCTAGCATGTTCCAAGGAACTGGTCACCAGTCTTACTCAGTAGTATTCACACAGTTCTTTCGCTCATTTCTTTGGTAGCTTGTGCTCTTAGTTAATAAATAACGAGGTGATAATCGGTCACATAGAATTCCTGTCCCCACAAAGCAAATTCACAGAGAATCCAATGAAACAAGCAGCTTGATAATCTTTTTATTCTGTGCTCTCCTTTGCTTGTTTAAACACTCCTCATTTCCATGTTGGAAATGGACCATCTTTTTTACCAATGCTACAAGTAGTACATTGCTTTTCTGTCCCTAAAGCAATGTTCTCCTATTTACAAGGAAGATATTTTTGCATTTATTACCCATGACCCATCCATTCATTTCTGAAAGAACAGCATCTCTCATTAAGACCCAAGATGATCAAATGGATAGGGACAGATTTTGTATTAAGTTTATACTGACAGAGCCTTGGAAGTTCACGACTAGGCCTACATATTCTAATGAAACTTCAGGTACACAAAACCTGAAGCTCTACCATGGACTGAAATACAGTTGCTTGCCCATAGCAACTGAAATAGAATGCTCTCACCCCTAGCAAAATGTCCTTCTACCTCCTAAGAATTTGTTTTATGAAAGTAATTATTTCTGAAAGCTGCAACTGAGAAGAATGGAATAAGTTTTTGAAATAAAACTGCCAGGTGTACTAAGTGGTCAGATAGGAACTACTGGGCATGGGGGATTCCCAAGACTTGTCATCTCTGAGAGCCTTGCTCCCTGTATTTCCTATTCAGCAATTACTGTGAGATTGGTAGTTACAATGATATTATAAAAAATAGTAAGGTCTTAAAAATCTGGGGGAATGAGCATCCCAGATTTGTGTCACTGCTAACAAAAAAGCTTCATTTCATTTGAGAACCTACACAGCGTGCTGGTATGGCTGCCTCAGCCACAGGAAAAGGTGTGACCTAAACTCACATATTAAGAGACTATTACAATAATTTAGTTACAAGACAGAAAACTGAAGATAATCCTTTCATACCCATTCTCACAGAGCTGCTTCTCTGCATTGTATGTGGAGAGGTGCAGATATCTCATAGTTTCAAATGGACACTTTGCCAAAAGCACTCCCACAGCTGTGTGAAGTGTAAAGGTCTACTCTACGTTGGCCAGTAGAACTGTAGGTTTGTAAAGCAGATACCATTGGAAGATTTGCAGTTCCTGTCTGGATAATATCTGTCTCAAGTCAGTGTGTACAAGAGTGCAGAATGCCATCTTGAAAGAGCAGTTGGAAGAGAAATAAAAAAGGGAAATGGGAAACAGGAAAACAGTTTGAAAATAAACCTGAGAAGGGCCCTCACAGGATTGAGGAACTCTGTGGCTAATAGGGCATTGACTTCACTGGGAATAAGGCTATGACTGAAGAATCACAGACCAGTGAGGGTTGGAAAGGACCGACAAAGGTCTCCAGTCTGACCTGAATCAAAGAGGTTGCATTGGAGCAGATTACACAGAACCTTTTCCAGACCTTTTAAGAATGATAATTCTCTAGGTGCCTCTTTCAGTGTCCAGCCATCCCCATGGTAATTTTTTCCCTCACATTGTGTAGGAATTTCATATTGTAGCTTGCTGTCCTTACTGTACACTGCACTAAGACTCCCCTGTCACATCTTTTCTTCTTAAGAACAAATGTAGTTCTCTCAGCCTCTCCTCATGTGTCCTGTGCTCTGGACTCTTGACCAGCTTGGTAGCCTTGCATTGAATTCACCTTAGTGTGTCCTTGTCTGTCTTGCACTAGGAGCCCAAAAGAGGCCCCAACCCTCTAGGCATGCTCTCACAATCAGAATGACAAAGAGCCATTTGCCCTAGCCTGCTGGCTACACTCCTGCTAATACAGTCCAGCCTTTGATTGATCAGGGGTGCACTGCTGATGTACTCATTTATTTATGTTGAAGTTCTGAGTTAGGACCCTCGGGACTTTTTCTGCAAAGTCAGTTTTAAGGTAGCAAGTTTTTGTCCAGCTTGCCCTGCTGCATGGGCTTTTCCATCACAGAATCTGGGGCTTTTCATCTGACTTCGTTCTACTCCCTGAGCTTTCTCCCAGCCCAGTTTTCCAGCCTGTCCAGCAGTGTATTGACTGTTCCACTCAGTCAGGTGTTGTGTGCAGACTTGCAGAGAGCATAAAAGAATGGTATGCCAGAGTTCATTGAAATAGGTAACTTGGTCTCAGTGAAAAGTCTTCATGTCTTGTGAGCAGGATGTGAGGAGTTGCAAGCACAAACAGCTTCGTGTTATGAGCTTATAAACAACTGACAAAAATAACTCAAGGTCACTGGAGGTAGTTCTTTCCTGCAGAGTGAAGTCAGTTTACCACTTTATCACGAGTCTATCACTGGATAGAGTGTTGGAGGACAAAAATTTAAAAAATTCTACACTTTGGACTGTGTTCCAGGATGGATCACACTGAAGTGTATGGACTGGGTGGGGGCAAGTGGTGTATCATACATCTGTGACAGCTCAACCATCTGAGGCAGTCGTTAATTGTAGAAGTAGATTTCACAATCTTAATACAGAAGAGGAGTTTATTTTCTTTTAGCTGGTCTCTCCATCACATGATTTCCAGTCTGATGTCACAGCTGCATGATTTGTGTAACATGTCCAGACTATTCATTTTAGTGTTAGTAGTTTCATTTTTGCTACCTGTTGGTTTTATTCACCAAGATTTTCACCTTTGGGATGTTACCAGAACTGCCACATTGTTCCTCTACTGTATGTTCACAGCCACACTTCTTTTCTTTCCTTTGGTGGAAGATTGTGGGAGCCCAGTAGCAATTCCCAAATCCCTAAAAAGTGATTAGCAATTATTGTTCTCTAAGTGCTTAATAGGGAGATTAAGACAGGCCACCAGGTGTTTACACAATAGTACTCACTAGCATGGAAATTCAGCTCTCACTATTACAAGGCATAAGAAGGGAAAATTCCTTCCATTGGAGAAACCAGCAATTGTTTTGATGCTTGTATTACACCTCATTTTCTCCAGTAGATTGTGCAGTTCTGTTATTTCTTAGCTTTTCATTCCCTGATAGGGGTTTGTCTGTGTTTATAGTAGCGGGATTGATCTGTAACCGCGAGATCAGTTTCTGTTAAAAGTGTTTTTCTTGCACGATCACTTGGCTGCAAAGCTGCATTTTTAGTCCATCCCTTTGTATCTAACGTGGCATATTTGTATACAGCAACAATGGAAGGGAGCTATGCTTCACACTGAAGGTTTGAAACAAATGATAGTGAAATAGCTTAGGAACAGCACAAATGCTCTTCTGTAACAAATTGTATCATTCACAGTGTCTCTTTTTTTTCTGTTTCAGGAGGTTGGAAGCATTATCGGAAAGGTCAGAAAATAACTTTATATTCATGTCAAACTATTGAATATCATTTCTCTTTTCTTAGCCCAAGCTAACGGGGATTTTTTTATGCTTCTTTAACAGAAAGGTGAGACAGTGAAGAAGATGAGGGAGGAGGTAAGACAAGCTTTGATGTCTTCACTTGCCTTCCTTTCCAGCTCAGAGAACAGTGAGTTCAGCATGTGCAGACCGATGCTGCCATCAAGTGGGCCGATGTTTAACATCCCCATTCTTTGGAAGCAGTTGGGTATAAATATGCTGGCCTAAATTAAACATTGTTGTTAATGTAACCTTCTTATCGCTGCAGCAGTCTGGAGTCTTTCATTCCCCTAGCGATGTGCCTGCTGCTGCCTTATCTCTGGAACAGCTCACAGCGTGGTTCTGCGCATCAGATCCACTGTATCTTTCATTAGCATACCAATATCAGTCCTGCACATGTCTTGGCCTCCTGGTAGAGTTTCCAAAAACCTGAAACCAAGCGTTAGACTGACACATGTCAAGTTTGAGGGTAGACACAAGCTTCAGCAGAGCTGGAGCCAGACATGTATAAGCCAGAGCATCTCTCTGCCATGTCTTGGCAAAGCCTTAGCTTTTCCACATTTTGAAGCTGTGAGTAGGATATGGGCAGGCTAGACCTGCACACCTGCCACTCCAATCCTTTGAATAGGCTGAAGACAAAGAGGATTAAAACAGGGCACTGCATACGTCTCAGCCTTCCCAGTGTCTGCAGGCTTCTTTCCCTGACACGCAGCAAGCTGTGCTATCTTCAGATGAGTGTGCTCAGGTGGAGTCTACAGACCCACACTGGTCCTGCAAGGCAGCACATCCTACCTGGAGATGGATGTAATTTTTCTGCTTTGAAGCAACTGCTAAAGGTATAAGTCAAAAGATAAATCCTACTGTTTTAAACTTTAGGAGTGCAGTGTATAGAGGATGCCTCAAGAAAAGTCAGTTTGGCTCTAGTAAAGCTGCAGTACATTACTGTGTCAGCTTCTTCGTTGTTTTCTACTCTGATAGAAGGTCTGTGGCAGGGAAATGTCAAAGTATTTTAGTAAAGAAAATTGCAGACATTCATCTTTAAATATACACAAATAGGGATTTCATTGTCAGGCTGACTGAGTTCTGTGCTCCTTTTTTGATGACATGTTTTCACCAATATTTTCACATGTCTGCTAAGACTTAAAGAAAAAAAGATAATATTTTTTTTTTTCTGGTGTACTAGGTAAACTTAATGAAACACATTTTAGTGTAGTTATTAATTATGATCATCAGCAGAAATCTTTGTACATAAACTGTGCAGAAGGGAAGCCATCATTGGAGAGTGCTCCTGACTTCTGAGTAAAACATCTTAGAGAATACCTATGATGCTTGATCTGTCTTTCAAGATAAATATCAAATGTTCTTCTTCAAATCCTGAACCCAGCTGTCATGTATATGTGGTCAGAAGACACTTTTTTTTTGTCTGTTTTTTTTTTTTTTTTAAATAATGGAATTGTATGCATCTTTATATCAGCACAGGACTAGGAGGCTGTATCTCCACATGATGATAACTTGGTTGCTCTTTAAATGACTATCTTTTTCAGTACTTCTTTAAAAGCAAAATGCAACTTTTATTTTGACTTCCCTGGCAGATGTGGCAGAGTACGTGCCATCTTTATGGTGTGAAATGTAACTCTGTCTTTGGGGAAATGTCAGAGACAATTCTGTCATTGAGGAAATGTCATAGACAACTTCAAGTCTAAAGAAAAGTACAGAAGCCTCAGTTCTGTGCCCAGGTCTGTGGCAGGAAAATTTTTCAATCAGTAGTGTTGAGCCTTGGTTTTTTTCCATGTTATGTGAGGATGCTGTCACATGGGGAAATGCAGACTCTTGCAGTAGAGCAGCAGCATGGGGTGGTTAAGGACCAGGACACAGCACATCAGCAGCTGTGTGGTGACCCTGCAGGCAAAGGGCCAGACTAACCCAGCTTGTCTCACATTTGCTTCAGGCCCTGATCCCCAAGAAGGTCAGTGCCTGTGGGTGAGTTGAGGCTCCAGAGACTTGTTAGGCTGCATTAACATATTTCCAGGACTGAAATATCAGAAAATGCGTAGGGTGGCTCTTACCTGAAGCAGACTTGATCATTACCTACACTAAAGATCCTCTTAAATATATATTAAACAATATATAAATTTCTTAATATATAAAACCCCCTGGTTGAGACATTTTCTCTCCACTGCCAGTGACATAAGAGATACTTGAGAGCAGCCTGGCTTCTCTAAGACACTTCTGGTTTTCTAACTGTATCCAACAGGCTCCTTGCCCTATGGACACAGTACTGTTGGTGTGTCCTGTCCTAGCACTAGTCCTTTAAAGGGATGCTCAGTGCACATTGACTGGCTGCCTTCACATGAGGCACATCTACAAGGAGCATTCTCCACGGTGCAAAGCAAGGCCCCAGTAGAGAGGCAGAGAAGCCAAGCCCCACCTTTGGGGCTCCAAACCAGAGAGGTGTGTCGTTCCTGGGAAATGCTGGTGCTCCCTGGAGACAACCACCTTGTCTTAAATTCTGCAGCTCCAGTCCTACTTAAGGTTAATCCTGCGAGAAGGAAGGAAAAAGACTTGATTATGCAATTATTTGCAACTTTGAGTTACAGAGGTGCTATTTGCATACTGCAAAGAAGGCTGCAGAAGTATTTACCCAGACAGAATCTGGCTTCCTGCTGTTACATGAATTTTTGGAATGTGATCAGTTTATGCTGAAATTATATGATGTTGGGGCTGCAGTTGTAGGGTAGAAAATTAGATGCCTCAAGGTATTCCTTCCCAAACTATATCCCTAATCCTACTTAGTTTGCTTCCTGGGAGGTATGACTTTGAAAAATATTTGTTCCTTTTGACAGAGTGGTGCTCGAATCAATATTTCAGAAGGCACTTGTCCAGAGAGAATTGTGACAATAACAGGCCCAACAGATGCAATTTTTAAAGCTTTTTCTATGATTGCACTAAAATTTGAAGAGGTAAGCAAATAATTTTTTTTTCTCTCTTCAAGTGGAAATACAAACACTGTTTGAATTTTCTCATGTTTGCTTTAATGTTAAATAGGATTTGTTTAATGTTCTATTTAATAGCAATGAAAATGGTTATATTTTCATAAATGCTTTTGGCAGCAATGCTGAAGAAAAATAATGGGTCAATTTACAAGATGTTTGATAATTTCTTTTGCTTTTTGGAGACTTCAGGGAAAAGCAATTGCTTCTAGTAATGTGTACTAATGATAGGAAAACATGTCTTGGAAAAATTCTATTCCCATTGTGGGTTTGAATTGAAAAGAATAATTGCCTAACTTTTAACTGTTTTTGTATGAATTCAATTGGTATTGATGTAAATGTTATATATGTCAAAATGAATATATAACTCATTTAACTAGAAATTTCATTTAAAAAAAAACAAGCTATATGATTACCATTTACCACATTTAAGGCTTGTCTTTTAAAACCAATTGAAGTAAAGGCACTCAGAGTAAGTAAGGCAGGAGCTCAATTCACTGTAAACTAAGTGTTCTGTGCAGGTATGTGTCTTAATTGCAGAGATTTCATTCAGTTTTGTGGACCAGCTACAATTAGATATGGTCACCATTTTAATGGAGAACCTCACCGAAAAGGCAGCAGATGTTCTGGTCTTTGTGGAGAGGATTTAGCTCCCTCTACTTTTGAAAGTCATATGTTTAGTCCAGGCAGCTCTCCTGTCCTCGCTGGAGAGGCAGATGTCCCTGCAGGAAGCGGTTCACCTTCTCCTAGTGGAGGAGCTTTCAGACAGGTAGACTGAGTCACCTGCAGCTGAAGCAAAGGGCAGGGTCTCTACAGAGAATAATATCTCTCTAATGTAATCCGTTCTCTCCAGAGAATGGATTAAACAAGAGGGATGCTAATCCCTTTCTTAAGAGTTCTTATTTCTCCAAGTCAGCAAGGCGAGTCTCCACATCTCCCCATAGCCAAGGGAGATGGTGGAATTTATAATTGTCAACATGTACCTTTATTTACACATGACAAATGTTCAAGTTTAGAGCAACATGACTAGAAGAGAGCTCATAGGTCACCAGATGCAGTTGTCTTCTGGAATCAACTGTATGTCTTGAATTTGTAACTTCACAACATGATCAAAAACTAGTTAGATTTTTTTTCTATTTGCTGATACTGGGTCCACAACTTCAGGTCTCTAATAATTAGACACCTTATTTTCAATCCTCACCTGAATTTGTTAATGAACAGTTCATGCAGCATTTTTTCTATGCCAGCACTGGCCCTTAGTTTAGATCATTCTTGCCTTTCCATCCCTGAGGATTCCCTTTCTAGATGCCTATTTAGAAACTGATTTTATCCCCACACACCTTTGCTTTTGTCAGAGAGTGATCCAAGCACACTCTTTCAGAGGATGCATTCTCCACCCCTCTCATGACTCTAGCAGTCCCTTTCCACCTTTTTCTGGTTACATTTTATGTTAAATGTCTGAATTAATTGTGGACAAGTTGCAAATTAAGTTCCACAAAGGCTTATTTAATGGTATTAACAGTCCCCTGTCCTACTTACCACGCTGTCATATCCCTGCCTCTGCTGGAAATGCCTCACCTCCTACTAGTTTAATGCTCTGCACACACCCTTGCTTTGCCTAGTGGGTGTCCCTAGCTCCTGCTGAGGTGTTTCCACCTCTTCAGTTATGGCAAACATTCCTATCAGGCTCCAGAGAAATGACCTTTTTTTTAATACTGCAGGTGTTAATCCCATTTATATTTCTTCAATCCTTCATGGGTTTTCAGATCTTCCTTCATGATATTCCAGACTTTCAGTATGTTGATAAAATGTCCTAGTTTTGTGGCATGGCACATTTTATAAAAATTCTTGGGGAGTTTTTTGCCAGTTATTAATGAAAAAATGATTTTGAGGTTTAAGCCTGCAGAATCACAAGTAATTCTATCTAACCCAGTTTCAAAACCTCCTATTGTCATCTCTTTCTCCTCTTCATCTCTTACTCATCATGGACCAATCTCTGTTTCTTCTAGTTTAAGAGGTAGCTTGGTGCACAGTGCCATACCCTCCAGTCCAGGGAATCCTGGAGAGAGCAGTGTCTCTGCTCTCTATAAGAAAAACATGCTCCTCATCCTGTAAAATGCTGAGAGAATCATTAGCACAGATAATCCCTGCCAGTTCCCACCAAAATGAATACCCAGTGGAAATAATGCTGCACTTTTCATACAAACATCAAACATTGCACAGCTTTAGATCCCCAGCCCACCACCTAGCACAACATAGTCTTTGAAAGTGCTGTAGGTAACAATAGGCAAAGAAAGCTGAAATTCAGGCGTCTGGCTGGATTTTGCACTTATTTGCACTTGCAGGTTTTAGGGGGTAGCCTGGGCTCTTCATATGAGCATTAGCAAAGGAGTATTGGCAATCTCTTCAGATAAAGTACTGCTCTGAAATATCTGTATTTAGTTTTAAAATAATTGGTTTGTGGTATATTTAAAAGAACAGCAATAAAGAAACATGTATATATAATACATGTTGTATATATAATGCATGATATAGATATAATCAGGTTTCCGATAAATCTTCCTGCCAATAAAATGAGGTAACTGTAATGCTCTGGAGGCAAAATAAAGTGCTGTTTCAAAAATTACAAATTAGCTAGCTACCAAGTGCTATTTTTCATGCATATATTTTTGCTTTTTCTTCAGCCATTTAAAATATTCACTCCAGCTCTGGTTATTGCAGCTATGTTGAAACAGAATAAAAATGATGCATGTGTGACACTGCTGCTTTGAGGGATTGTTTTGGTATTTGTCATGCATGAAGACCTTGGACCTTTAACTTCCACCCTACAGCTGTATACCTAGAGACAAGCAGGAAGTTCTGGAATGCTTTTCTAATGTTAGTAAAAATTTCAAAATATTTCAGATAGATACAAAAATTAGAAAAGTTGGGTTTGTCTTGTGGTTGTTCTGTAGCCTTATAGAACTCTGCTTTGACAGCCTTCCTAATGGAAGTTGCTTTTCTATCAGTCTTATAGTTAATTTACAAGCTAAGTAGGTATTTACATGAATACCTAAAGTGTTCACTGCAGTGGAGAGAGTTAGTAAATGACAGTAACCCAGGCAGACCATTGGAATTGCAAGAGGGGACATTTTAGTGCAGTCAATTTTGGACTGGAGGTTGAGACCCAAGAAACACAGCTGTAATTCCCCTGGTGAGTGGGGCAACTCTAGCTTTGCTTCTAAGTCTGCATAATCCTCTGAAAGCACATGGTACTTAAGCACTGGAATAACCAGCAGGCACAGGTCAGTAGCCAGACTTTCTCCAGATGAATAAGAAAAGGAATTTTGGAATTCTTGTTCATCTGTAAACATTTATGAAGCACTTGTTCCGCTTGAGGAAGAAGAAGAGAAAAGGAAGGTGGCAAAAGCAGTTAGGGTGATACCTTTCTGACAAATATAAATTCTGGCCAGTACAGCTGTGATTAATCCTTTGGTGGTCATTGCCAAGGTAGGAGCCTCCTGACAGAATCCTCCTTGCTGTGGAAATGGGACAGTTTAACATTTCCTTTGAAACCAGAAGAGAAGAATTTTGGTATATTTTTTTTTCTTGGGGGTTTGGTAGAATTCTGAGCTGCCAGGTTAGTTTGTCTTGGAAGCCTTATGTGCTATGACCCCAGGATGCCAAGAGTTTCTGCTGGCTCTTCAGCACTTCCAGGCTCCAAGTTAGCCTGTCCTGGCTGAGGAGCAGCCCACCAAGCAGGGAGAAAGCCACATATGTTCCAGCTGTAGTGTCTGCCAGAGCCCTGAAAAAATGGTTGCAATGTCACAAAAAGTTAGAGGTTAAGTAAATAGGAATCTCCCAGGTTAAAAGATGGCTGTTCTGTGGGAGAGTCTTGAGTGATCCCTACTTGGAAACCTGCAGTTTTGAGGGGAATTTTTTTCTGCTTATTTCTCCTTTGTTTTTAAGCTGGAATAATTCCTGTATGCACTCCATGCTGCTGATCCTCCATGTTTAGATTTTGCTCTTCTTAAATAGTGAGGATAAAAGAAAGAGAACAGTGGCTTCCAGTTCCTGCAAAGTGCTTTTGAAGGCAGAAATTTCAGTGAAGGCTTTGAGGCCAGGCTGCATGTGATATGGAAGTAGGAGACATGATTAAGTTTTGTGCTGTGTGGCTGAAGAGGATTATTCACCTACATGTGCCTCCACCTGAGACAAACACGATACAGCAAGATGGCATCTTCCAGCTGAAAAATTGGCGTAACTTTATCTCAAATACATGCGTACTGCAAAATTCTGTTATCCTTCTGGCTTTATTTTGGATTGCAGTCTCCCACTGACAGAGCCACTAAACAGAATATGAGTAACTACTGGCTGGCAGAAGAATAATTTGGTAGCTGTCTGGTCACATGCAGCAATGTCTTGTTCCATTTGAGATTTTATTTTCTTCTTTTTTAAGCTAATTAATGTCATACCAAGCCATTTCTTGTATGGAAGAATTCTGCCACCAAAACTGGGGAGGTACTGTAGGAATCAGTGCTGGTGTCACTGGGCTCCCATGCTGGTTCAGTGAGATGTGCAGAGTTGCTTGAAGTGCTGAGTAGTTTTGTTGTTGATTGTTTTTTTTATAATTTGGGTCCTGATTGTACAATATAGGCACTTTTTTTTTGGTTGGTTGGTTGGTTGGTTTTTTTGTTTGTTTTTTATTTGGTTTTTTTGTTAAAGTGATAATCTTTATAAGCCTAGGAAATCAGGTAAGTTCTGTCTGACAGAGCTCTTGAGTCTTCTCAGCTCATAGTTAGTGTTACCAAAACTTTCTGAGTTTCTCATGAGTTGTTGAGGAGCTACAGTGCAGCTTGTGGCTTTTTATTTTTTCATCCTAAGTTTCCTCAAAGCATCCCACTGATCAGTGGGAAGATAAGTGGGAAGATAAGCTTTAGCTTTTCCTCTGTGATGAAGTCTTTAGAGGGATTGTTTTGTCTTGCCTACAAGATTTTGAACCAACAAAATATATTTGAAACAATTTAAACCTTGCAATGAGTAGTGTATTGAAGTGTTTATGGAAGCGTGTAATGTAGTACCATTGGACAGTGAGATATATGGATGTATGTTTCATTACCTGGACACAGGCAAGTACTGTTCTGCTGAGCTTTTTGTACTCTGGTTACGTAACCATGATGGAAAAGATTTCAGAAATTGTGTAGTGCTACAAATATTTATGGACCTGCTACAAAAGAGAAATTAAATCTAGAGGGTAGCAGAAGACTTAGCAAAATCATCTGATTTTCTCTGCTTCACATTATTCACATGTTCTTTGTCATTCCTTTTTTTAACTATCTTCCTTTGACTCCAATCTGGGAAGAGACGTGTAAAATATAGAGACGTATTATACAGTATAAATTTGCTAACTGAGGTGGTGAAAAAGAGACCAAAACAGACCAAAACAGGTTTTGGAGGACTGTGAATCCAAAAGCGTTTTCCACCTGTTTTGGTGGTCTAATGGCAGACACCACCTCTCCCTCCTAGTCCTCCAACCCCACAGCACGGATCTTGCAATGCCAGACTTCCAAAAGGTTCCTCTGGCACAAGCTGCTTCATGCTTACAGTGTGTCACTGGCAGAGCTGAGGTGGGCTTTCCTTACCACAAAAACAGGCCACAGCTGGTTGCACTCCCCAGCTCTCCACGGACAGCCTGGGCATTTGCTCTGAGCCCTTCAGTGCTCACCAGGAGTGGCAAACCCCCACTAACTCTGGCTGACACTGTGATTACAGGACATCAACGCTTCGATGACAAACAGCTCAGTGACAAGCAAACCGCCCGTAACACTGCGGCTCGTCGTCCCAGCAAGTCAGTGTGGATCTCTCATAGGAAAAGGAGGTTCCAAAATCAAAGAAATCAGGGAGGTAGGTCTTGGGATGTGTGGTGGGGACACTGGCTAGCTCAGCATCCTGTTGCAGGAGGATGCTACAGCATCACTTTGCTGATCACACCAACATGAGCATGTGTCGACTGAAAAGCCTGCAAAAGCCTTGCTCTGGGAAAGTAGGGGGCCCAGCACAGCTGGACTTGTACTTTTCTTGGCACTAAAGACCATGTGTGAAACAGAGAAACAGCTTTACAGTGTATAAAGTCTTTCATGCACAATTAAGCAAAGCAACAGTGACAAATGGCTCTTCAAATTTCTATTCCAGCACAGATCCCTGCCCAGCAATACTCAGGGGATCCCAAGTCAAAGAGCTGCAGCCATTTCCAAATTAGTTACTACCCTTACAGTCAGAGAAAAGCCCAAGCACTGTGATTCCAGGCTAGTCGATCTATTTTATAGAAAAGTGTGATTTTCATGCTCCTTTCCTGTTTCTCTTTAATGTCACTGGGCCACGAGTGACCTGATTTGATGCATTCCAAACACATGCAGAATTTATTTTTCGTCCAGACTTTAGCTAGAGGTACTAATTCAGTGTGCTAGGAGACACCTTTTTGTCTAAGCAAAAAATGCAAAAAGTACCATACAGTGCCTGTTTGAACTCTTCCATGCATGACTGTTAACAATACAGCACATGCCCAGCCAAGGATCTGGAGTCTGTAATCATTCACAGGTACATGCTCAGTTATATGGAGAAAATCTGAATAGGACATTTCAGAAAAATTGATTGTTTTTCTGGAGGAAGTGACAATATTCCTTCTAAATTTTATATCATTCCAACTCAAAGTGTTGAATACTAGGATACCATGTTGATCCATTTTTTTAATTTCCCTGTGTCAATGCAAAAGGCTTTTGACAGGTTCTACAAAGTTGAAATTCTGATTTTTTTAATCTAAAATGTGGATGCTAGGTAGTAGGTTTTATGGAGCTTTTAAGTTGATTTCTTTGTTGTATTAAAATAGAAGCGGGCATGAGTGTGAACTGTGTGCTAGTGATTGTTTAGCTCTAGGTTTACAGCTGTCCATACTTTAGATTTTCTATTAAATATTGGTAGTTTCACTCAGAGCACTGTGGGAATGCGCCCAGGACATAGGTTCATAAAGGTGAGATTGGTCTGTTGGTTAAATGAAGCGACTGAAGTGATTATCCTGGTCAGCAGAGTTTCAGAAGCAATTGCCTGTAGTCTGGTACAAGGAAGTAAAAGGATAGTTTTTGGCCAAATAGGTGTTTTGATAAAGCTAATGTAGTGAGAAGTCACACTGCACATCTTCCTAAGCATAAGGATAATGGACAAAATATTACTTGTTTCTTGCTACTGATAAATGACCAAAGTCAGAGAATAAACAAGATAAGCACTGGGAGTAAATGCATAAATGACTCTTGTACTTGGCAGTCTTTTGTGCTGGATGTACAGATACCAAGGAATGTATATTAAAAAGCAAATACCAGGAAAGAGGGGGAAATCAAGGAGCATCCAGCCCAAGATGTGGTCTCATTTCATCATCATACAACACACTGAGCAGTTGCAAAAGAAGAGGTCTTTTGTGTTCAGTCATGCACCCAGGAACAGCATGTAGGATTGCAGCACTTAGTGAAATTGTGAAGAAAAAAAAAGTAAAAGCATGAGGGATTGATCAAATTACTGTGAAATTCCAAAGTCTGTTATAGGGCATGGAATTGATACTTTGGCCTTAAACAGCACTAGTGAACAGAAGATTAAATCAGTACATTAATCAGTCTTTGAAAAGAAGTTATACACGTGTTGTGTATAATTAGCAAGAAAACAAATTAATTCCTTGCTGAGTGATGCAAAGTTAATGGTTGCTGAAAATACTTGTATTTTAAAGCCCAAATACTGCATTGGAATAACAGTCAGGAATAGATCTTTTGTGCAATATGTTAAAGGGCTTATTCAACATCAAATGCCTGGGTTTTTCTCTGTTCACTGAAAAGGTCTTCTGTGTTTGTGTAATAATGTCAAGGGTTGTTTGGACCTCCTGTATTTTCTTCTTTCTTTCTTTTTTTTTTAATAAGACACACTAGTGCCAAGATCAAATTTTAAAAACATTGCAAAAAAACCCCAAAAGTGGCTCATTACTTTCTTGGGTTCATTAATGAGCTAAAAGTTGATAATATGCATATATTTAATCAACATTAATTATGATTTAGAAGTGCTTCTGTACCATTTAGCATAAGGAAGTCACAAATTTCAACAAGAGACACAAGTCAACCATCAGTAGATTAAAGAGCCATTTATCAGTAGATTAAAGAGTGACTCATTTGATTAGCTGAGCTTCTTCAATTATTGGGCTTTTTTCCTTCTTTTTTTTTTTTTATTATTATTATTGAAGAGTACTTCATTTCACCATTTCCACTTTTTAGTCAGCATTGCAACTGTCTGTCTTTGAGAGGGTTAAAATTCTTCTCCTGAAGTTTAGGTCGCAGTTTCATTCCCTAACAGCTACTGAGGACTAACCTCCCCGGTGTGGTAGTGCTGGCAAACTGGCTTGAGCAGCCAAATCCATGTCGGGGATAAGAGTTTCCATATGTGCTCTACCACATCCAGCACGGAAAGGAGAAAAAGTGTAGGGGTGCACCCCCTCCGTTGTCTCAGAGGGAGAGGTGCCATTGCCTACGTGGCAGTGATGGTGTCTCCGCTCTGTCTCTGCTGAAGTCCACAGGGGCCCAGGTGCAGGTGGCAGGGGACATGCTGCCCAACTCGACGGAGCGCGCGGTGACCATATCCGGCACTCCCGACGCCATCATCCAGTGTGTGAAGCAGATCTGCGTGGTCATGCTGGAGGTAAGTGGGCACCTTCTCACTCACGAGACACTCAAACACATTATTAATAATTGTCAATTGCCATGGGTTCCCCTGAGGTGCTGCTTGCCCTTCCTGTGCCAGGGATTTCCAGTGGCTCTGTTCTCCTGGTGTTTGAGAGCCTCTTGCAGCAAGGTTTAGCAGTCAAAGGCTGTCATGACATTGCTGAACAACAACCACGTCCAGAACAGAGCTGCAGTCATTCTGAAAGAAACACATTTTATTCTGATGTAGAATAGGGCAGAAAACATCCACCTCTTGTTTAAAACAGAAATAATTCTGACCAGCCAGGACTTCTTGCTTCCTTAGGGTCAGGCCATTGCATCAGACCAATAATTTATATCTTGATGGCAGTGTTTTAGCCCTTACATTTGATACACAAAATAAATTTATATAAAAATCTGGGCATTTTAACCCTTGCTGAAAATGCGCATAATTTCCAAGCCATCGACCATTTTCAAAATTGTGGCCGTGTTTCCTAAAATGCCTTAACATGCTTAATGAAGCTTCATAGCTTCATCTGACAGTGGCAGTAATGAAACCACAGGTGTCACCATTCCCTTGTTTTGGCCATGCACTCAGGTCCTCAGCTCTTCCCTTGAATCCCAGACAGGAGGCCTCTAGCTTGCTTTTGGTCTGATGGGGTGGATGGTAGGGTGGGCTGGGCTGGGTTATCTGCATGCCTTGTTGTCTGAGGTGACCAATATTTATAAAAAGAGATATCTTTTTTATACAAGCTCTTGTTCGTTTCACATTTTGACTGCTTTGTGTTTTTGTCTGCAGTCCCCACCCAAAGGTGCCACCATCCCCTACCGTCCCAAACCTGCCTCTGCACCTATCATTTTTGCAGGTGGCCAGGTAAGAGCAGACACCATTTTGGCTTCAGCTGGAAACCACACCGTCCTGGCCCAGCCTCAGCCAGCGCCTGTTAGTTTCAACTTTTACTCTTTCTTGCCTGGTATAGTATTGATGTGCTTTGTCTACTGTGTGTGCTTACAGTTTGCAGGACAGGAGAACACTGCATTGCAGACTTTACGCAAAATTGTGACAACCTGGTATTTTACCAAGATTTGACATTAACTTCTGTAATTAATAAAGGTTTGCCCTTCTGCAGATTGAGAGGTGTCCAAATCAGGAGCTCACTGAGTGGGGCAGCCCTGCTTATTGTAGTGGTTGAGGGCTTTTTTTCCTTAACTTGCAGCTTCACTAGCAGTATGAGCAGTTTAGTCAATTTTCAGAGGTGATGAAACAGCAGGACATTTCTGCTAATGAAAAGTTTAATTTTTCTCTCATAGTTTTCATACTTTTTGGGACCAAATAATGCATTTTGCAGTAAGGATTCACACACACATAATTTCCATTGCTTGTAGTCCCTCAGGACCAAGTAGCAGTGTAATTCTGAGGTGACTACAACTACTTACATGCAAGTGTAGACCTACCAAACCATGGTGTGGAACAGCCTGATTGATAACACAAGAACAGCATTCCTGGGTTTTTTTAATGTAAAGATGTTCTGATGACTCGTCTTTCACCTTAAGCTATATCATTCAGGCTGTATCTCATCTGCCTTTAAAGACCCGCATGCATTTGGTTCTTCTGTGTCTGTTAGTAATGTCTGAAATGGGTCTGCAGCGTATGACAGAGGCATAACAGGAATGCTCTACCATCATCCTTTGCAGGGGGAATGCAGCTTTCACTGAAGAGCCAGTGATTAACAGAGCTGATAAATATCCTAAAAACAACATGGGAGGGTCACAAGGGGACCAGTGTAGCTGCCAAGCTTTGAGCAGTGGTGGAGGAGTGAGATGCTGCAAGCCCTGCCTAACTCAAGGGGAAATCGACCCTATAAACCCAGCCTAGAGGAAGGCAGACATCTCTCTACTCAGGGTTAACATATGTAAAGCCCCTCTGGCAGTAAGGCACCCCCACCCAACCAGATCCTTTCCCCAAGGTGATGCCAAGGTCTCTTTTTAAGCAATTACCAATTACCTGCATGGTGGAACCCACCCCATCAGCCCATCCAAGGTCATCACCCTGTCACAGGGTGGGTTGATGGCACAGACTGTGTCCCACCTCGGGCAACTTGGAGATCATATGAGAAGCTGGACACGGAGTTCTTGGTGGAGCTGGGTGCCCAAGTTGCTGCTGGCATTGTTAGTGTGACAACCTGTTTCCACCACAATCTGCTGGTGTGTAAGGGAATCTCCTGCACAGCAGCACACGCCTCCCAAGCATATGCCAAAATGCTTCTGACAGCCCTTGTCATGAGCTGCCTCTGATTTTGTTTTTTTTTTGTCTCAGAGTTTTACTTTCTTTTCTCTAATGATTTGTTCTGATGTATATCCAGATTTTTCTAATCTGGATATAGTAGCTGTCATCATGTTTGGGTCTACTTCTATTACTTGTCATCAAAATAAGAAATCTGCTTCCTTAGTGTCCAAAGCTGAATTGAAATGTAAAATAATGTGCCAGAAACTGGTCTATGACTGAAAGTTCAGAATCATTTACTCCATATGTGTAAGTTTACACTGCAGTGCTTTCCTGTAAGAAATGTGTGTGTGTGTATATGTGCAGCAGCCCATTCTACCAGTGTGGTAATTGCCGTTGCCTTCAAAGACTGTATATGATTACTCAAAAGCATTGAAACTGTTTGCTAGAGGGTGCTGAGTGGTTTGTATAAATAATTGAAAGTATCCTATTTTCAGGTCTAATAGCTCTTGTCATCTTCAGTTTTATCAGTTAAAAAAGTGTTCTCACTTTTCTAATGCAACCATGTTGATGTGAGAAAGAGTGTAAGAAGCAGACACCTTCTGTGTGCTTTGAATTTCTGTGTGCTCTGACTAAGTAGAATTTTTAAGGAAGTGCTTAAAATGTGTTTGGACACCAATATGGAAAGCCACTTTAACATGTTTCATAAGTGGAAATTAATACGAAAAATAAAATTTTATTAGGGCTGTTAGTTCCACTCAGCCTTTCAGCTAAGCTATCAGAAGTTATTTTTGTATTCTAAATTATATTGTGGCTGTCTTGAAAGGATTTTGTTTGTTTAACACTTAGTAAAATGAGTAACATTAGGAAAATATAATCTCTAGTTTTCCTTAAGAAGTTGGGGTTTTTCCACTCTAAGTATTGATTTTAATTATCTTGTGCTTCTTTGATACTGCATTGCATAACAAAACTAAAAGGAAACTGCCCTGCTTGGCCCCTACTT